TATACATGCTTAACTTATCACGGTCTGCCCTCAAGAAGCGATATTATACCACTTATGTATAGTATAAGAATCTTCCATTTCTCCTCTCCTGGCCTTTGGGATATGTTGTGGTACATTTAACATTTGCATATGGTAAAAATCCCATATTGTACTATTACTTTTGTTTCAACAGTCAGTTAGCTTTCTTTTGAATTAAGCTTTTTATTTTAATTCCAGTACAGTTGAAAGTGATATACTGACAGCCAATTAGCTTTTAAAGAGATTGGCCACTTTGTGGCGCCTGAGTGGCTCAGGCGTTAGGCGTCTGCCTTCGGCTTGGGTCATGATCCCGGGTCCTGGGATCGAACCCCGCGTCGGGCTCCCCGCTCAGCGCGGAGCCTACTTCTCCCTCTCCCTCTCCTGTGTGTGCTCTCCCTCTCTAGCTCTCATGCTTTCTCAAATAAATAAATAAAATCTTCAAAAAAAAATAAAGAGATTTGCCACTTCTCGTGCTCTTCATTCCTGTAAGCAGCTCCTCATTTTTGTCTGTTACCGTGTCCTTCTGCCTGAAGGACTTCCTTTTACATTCTTTGTGGTGCAAGTCTTCTGGTGATGAATTCTTTCAGCTTCGGTATGTCTGGAAAAGGCTTTAGTTTGCATTCCTTTTTAAAACATATATTTCTGGGCAAATACGTTTTTGCTGAAATGGCAGTGTTTTCTTCTTTTAGCACTTTGAAGATGTTGCCCCCTGTCGTACCATGTGCACTATTTGCAGTAAGAAATCTGCCGTCTCATCTTTGTTCCTCCGTACGTGGTTCTTCTCCTCTGCTGGGCTCGACATTTTCTCTTTATATTGGCATGGAGCAGTTTGTCGGGATGTGCTTTGGTGTAGTTTTCTGCACATTTCTTATGCTTGGGCTTCATTGAGGTTCTTAGATCTGTGTGTTTATTGATCTCATAAAAATCTGTTGAGTTTTTATTCGTGTTTTCTGTACCCCCTTCTCTCTCCCCTCTCTCAGGAACCCAGTCACGTGTGTCAGGCTGATAGATTTGTCTGACAACTCACTGATTTGCTGGGTTTTCTTTTTTTTTTTCCAGTCTCTTTCCTGTGTGTCTCATTTGAATCGTTTCTGTTAATTGTGTTTTAAGTTCACTGATCTTCTATTCTAGACCTTTCTGTGCCGTGGTTGATGCCATCAAGTGTGTATCTAAACTCTTCACATCTCCATGTGAGCATTGGGCATGTTCTCTGACCCTTTCAGGTGGTTCTTGCCCAGTCTCAAGCAGTGTGTGTGCTCTGATCAGCCCTCCGCTGATGCTCAGGGGACCCTCTGCAGCTCTTTTGCCTCTGCACACCATCCTATGGACTCTGGCCACCTTAGTTTCCCGAGCTCTCAGTTCAGGGAGTCTGCAGGCTGTGCCTGGGTTCCTTCTCTCCACGCTGCTGCCTGGACGCCCCCAGGACGGCCGCCTGGGGCACTCGTGGGACTCATCTCATATGTCTCCTGTCTCTCAGAAACCACTGCCCTTCCTTGCTTGATATCCAGGCACTTGAAGGCTAGTGTTTGATGTATTTTGTCTGGTTTACTACTATTTTAGTAAGGAGGGAGGGTACATCCAGTGGCTGTTACTCCATCTCACCCAGAAACAAAATCTGAACTTATTTTTAAATCACAGAATGCCCATTCTTAAACACTTGTCCCCTCTGTGTCACCCTCCAAAATAGATGCTTTTGCAATCTAGACCTGATTGTGCACCTGGTCATCCAAGCCAGCTGGTTGTTCAGGATTGGTTTTGGTTGGAAGTTGGGATGACAACCCCATGTCTTGGTCTGGGTTCCCTAGACAGCAGAGACTGAGGAGAGAATTTAAGGTGCTTTATTTGGCAAGCGTGAACTCAGAGCAGCAGAATAGATGAGAAGGAAAGTCTGACAGGAAAGGTGGCTTTGACTGCAGGAGAAACTACTGCATGTCTGTACCCACAGAGGACTGCTCCCCACTGCGAGCCCTGACTGGGGGCCTGCGGGCTGTGTGACACACCAGAACGCTGGTGTCCACCGTCCGTCACTCCGCCTGCTGGAGGGGTGGGAGGCCGAGGGGCTTGTGTATGGAGAGCCACAGCCACGTGATGGAGGGGGTGTGACCAGGGTGTCAGGTTGAGCCCTGCCGCCGACCCGTCCTGGGAGGAGTGGCCACACACATCTCATTGTCTGTTTCGGCAAGATCAGCATTAAATGAAGATTTAAAACCTTTAAAAAATATGTGATGGCCCTGTCTTCCTGATTCTTTTTGTGTTGGGAAATGGAGCTGTAGGTGGGCCATGTGTCACTCCCGATGCCCTCGAGCCACAGTTCCCCTTAACCTGGTCAGCTCTGGCCTCTCTGGTGGACTTAACTAGATCTTCTTGTTGCGCTTTGCTTATTGACAGGACAGTTTTATCAAAATTTAACCAAAAGCCGTGCGTGATATCCCACCCAGATCCTTTAAAATTGTGTTTTATCTCAACAAATGGAAGAGGAAACATGTGCCATATGTATCAGGGGCTACCTGAGCAGCGCAGGCCATGTGATGGCGCCAGTGGCCCGTGCAGCCGCATGGTTCATGAGAGCGTTCCGCAGTGTGAGTCGTCACTATGCTAAACTTCAGGGGCCGTCCCAGCCAATGGGATTTCTTTTTAGGAAGGCAATTTTGTTGAATTGGTTTGTAACTTCAGTTTGATTTTCCTGTGGGTTTTTTTTTTTTTTTAATTTTATTTATTTGAGAGAGAGAGAGCATGAGAGGGGCGAGGGTCAGAGGGAGAAGCAGACTCTCCGCTGAGCAGGGAGCCCGATGCGGAACTTGATCCCGGGGTTCCAGGATCATGACCTGAGCCGAAGGCAGTCGCTTAACCAACTGAGCCACCCAGGCGCCCCTGATTTTCCTGTGTTTTAAGTGGCTTCTTGAACTATGTAGTGAGTTAGCTAATTGGTTAATTGTTCCCTGCTTATCACCAGACATCTAGTGCTGTTTGTTTTATGGTTCATATAACATTTATATGTGATTAAGTAGAAAACATTTCTAGCCAACTTGACCTGGTTTGCCTGGTATTTTCAGTGCTTCTGTGTGACATTGTATATACATCTCCAGCTGTTGCCTAGGGTGTATCCATCAGAAATATGTCCATGTGTCACCAAACCTGTGGTTAGGAATGCTCACACACACACTCTTCAGAATAGCCAGGTGCTAGAAAACACAACAAAGCCTCTAGTGGCACATCCCCCAGTGGGGTCCATGCGGCAAGAAGTTTGGGCAGGGCACAGCTCTGTGCGTGATGCGTGTGACTCTCACACATGTGACCTCGAGTGAAGGGTGAAGGCACGTGGGAGTCCGTTGTGTAAATAGCCCCACGGATGTAAGGCTCAAAGCGGGCAACCCTGGTCAGCATGCTGGGGTCGGTGCCGTGATGACCCACGTGGGGCAGGGGTGGCCATGGAGGTGGGCGGGCTCCCAAACCAGTGGGCTGTGGTTGGTGAACAGCTGCTGGGACACTGGTGATGGATGTGCTCACTTCGCGAAACTCCTGAGGCTGTGCCCTCATGCTTTGTGACGTGTCAGTGAAAAGGTCTGTGTGAAGTAGAATAATTCACTGCTCGTGTGTTGGAATGAAAGAGTGATCAGCAGAATCCTGACTTCTTCCCCAGAGTGAGGGGTCTTGCTGGGGGCCGGCAGGTACCGAGGATGGCCCCCGGGGTGTCGCAGGGACTGCAGAGGAGCTCCCAGGGAGTGTGGGGGGCACGAACCAGCACCAGTGAGTGGCTGGCCCTGCAGTGAGCAGCAGAGACGCCTGCAGGCATCGGGTGGACATAGTGGGAAGGCAGATGAATAATGAGTCTGGAGCCTGAAGCAGAGGGCCGGGGCCATCCTGAGTGCGGCCACAAGTGGGTCCTTGGCCTCTGGCCCCAAGTGCCCTCTGTGGGATGGGAGCTCTGTCCGCTCACAAGGGCAGGGACTTAACAAAGGAAAACACCTTCTTTTCCCTTTAAATAAATATCCCAGACATGGGTGACATATAAATATGAATTTTCACCCTACTTTGAGGTGGGTGGCTGCTTTGCCTGAAGAACTGAGGTCTCCTCCATGATGAAGTTTCCTATTAGATCTTCCACACTCTGAACCAGCCTGCTGGCCCACCTGTCAGTCTTGGCTTTCTGTTCAAGGGGGGAGTCACAGTCACCCAGAGCAGATGTGGAGCAAGGGCCCGGGGTGGGAGCCCCACAGAGCTCGGTCAGCGCCCCTGGTCGTCAGGGAGCGGCAGGCTGCCTTTGGGGGGTTTGGGGGGGGTGGGCTGGGCTCCTCCTCTGGGGACCGAGCACCGGCCAGCTCCCATTGTGGGTGTGTTCTGAAGACACACCCCGAGTCAGGGTGGCCCGTGTCCTCCCCGAGGTGTGGATGATCGCGCTCAAGGCACCGATGGGGGGAGGTGAGCACTCAGCTCCCAGTTATCTGAGTGTCCTTTAAAAATCTCTCAGCCCCACCAAGTGAGACTTGGTTAGTTAAGACAAAACCATCTCAATGTGGTAAGAAAACGTATCCATGCTTGTTAAGTCAGGTTTCTTGTATCTTGGGCGTAGTGCGTGCAGGGTGGGGTAGCTTGACCATGCCTGCCCCTGGCGTGCGGGGCGTGCAGGGCATTCAGGGCGTGCAGAGCATGAGCGCCAGGCCTGGGTGTGATGTATGAGGGCAGTCCTCACCGGCACAACCCTACGGGACCTGAATTAACCCCAGAAGTGGCTCACACACCCAGACCTCCAGCTCTGTTAACCCCGAGAGAGCTCAGAGGTGCTGTGATGTCTCACAGGCTCCAGGTTTCTGTGGACCCCTGCCCACCTCCTGGGCACAGTCATGGCTGTTTCTGGGCAGCATGTGGTGGCACTGGACAGGTGTGAGCACACCTGGGCCGTGCACACCCCTCAGGCACGTCCTCAGCTGCGCCGAGCACTGTGCTGGGCTCCGCATCACCTCTCCTATGTCTCTCCGTTCCAGGCATCAGCAACGCGGAAGCACGGCAGCCGGGGAAGGCACCCAACTTCAGCGTCAACTGGACGGTGGGTGACGCGGCCATCGAGGTCATCAACGCCACGACAGGGAAGGACGAGCTGGGCCGTGCGTCCCGCCTGTGTAAGCACGCCTTGTACTGTCGCTGGATGCGTGTGCACGGCAAGGTACCGGCCCCACCTCCCCACAGCCCATCCCACTAAAGCCCCGCACCGTCCACACAGTCACTCCCCAACCTTTCTGTTTCTCCTGGCTGTTTCCATCTTGAAGTGTGGCCCCGATCTTCCCACGTGAAGCAGCCTCAGGCAGCTCCTCCTGCCCCGCCCCGGCTTCCCGCTGGGAACCCCTCCGCTCCATCCCACCCAGAGGAAGGAGAGCCGGAGCCCATGCAGCCCTCAGAAGGCTCGAGGCCTGTTTTCTGCAGTAGTGGCAGAGTCCTTTTCCTGGATAAATTCTCCTCTGGTCAATTGGCATTTTCCTAGTTTTCTTTATCAGTCGTGGCAGGTGGCGGTTTGGACAGAAGCCACCGAATTCGGGGCCCTCGGCCCATGGCAGGACGAGCCCTGGGCTGGTGGTCTTGCACCGTATTTATCCTCAAGATCTGCACAAAATGAGTCAGGCAGCCACGGGAGGCAGTGCCTCTGAGTCCTTCCGTGTGATAAAGTGTCCATATCATCAGAGGTGCTGTGTTTTTAAATAGCTGAAAATATTCACATTGAAATTGGAATCAACTGCTTGTGGGTTTAGAAGCACCTCTTTAGAGCCTGGGGTCTGAAACTGCCTGTTTGGCCTGGAGCCTGCGTGGGGAGGGCACGCAGACCATCAAGGGGCTCACACCTCGCCCCTGTGTCGCAGCCCCTCGGAGGAAGGTGCCTTCTGGCTGGTGGCTTTCCCCCCAGAAGCCAGCACAGGATGAAACACCAAATTTTGAATGTCTTACTGAGTTTTGTTTTCCACCGTGACTGCTTCAACACTTGTCCTTGTGTTTTAACTTTTTACAGGTTCCCTCCAACTTACTACGTTCCAAGATCACTAAGCCCAACATGTACCATGATTCCAAACTGGTAGCAAAGGAGTACCAGGCCGCCAAGGCGTGTCTGTTCAAAGCGTTCATCAAGGCAGGGCTGGGCGCCTGGGTGGAGAAGCCCACAGAGCAGGATCAGTTCTCTCTTACACCCTGACCGGGGGTGTGGCGTGGAGGCTGTCCGTGTCCAGTGCGGTCTCTGGAGCCTCACGTCTGAACTGGGGGCAGGGGTGGGGACGCGGGGTGCAGGGCGTCCAGCACTGTCTCTGGAGCTTCGCATCTGAACTGGGGGCAGGGGTGGGGACGCGGGGTGCGGGGTGTCCAGCACTGTCTCCGGAGCTTCGCATCTGAACTGGGGGCAGGGGTGGGGACGCGGGGTGCGGGGCGTCCGGCGCAGTCTGCGGAGCCTCACATCTGAGCTGGGGGCAGGGGTGGGGACGCGGGGTGCGGGGTGTCCAGCACTGTCTCCAGAGCCTCACGTCTCAGCTGGGGGCAGGGGTGGGGACGCAGGGTGCTGGGCGTCCGGCGCTGTCTCCGGAGCCTCGTGTCTCAGCTGGGGGCGGGCGTGCACTTTGGGGAGGGCAGGGAGGGCGTGGGGTCCGGCATCACCACCCAGTGTCCCTCCGCAGCAGTGTTACCCCTTGGAATTACCCAGTGACTGCTTTCTATCTCTGTTTACGTTTAGAAATTGAGTTCTACTGAGTAGGGCTTCCTTAAGTTTAGGGAAATAGAAATTACTTTGTGTGAAATTTTTGAATAAATAATTTATTCAGCGTTAGGAACGTGGTTTATAAAGTAATTATATCAAGTCACTCTTAGGCCACGTTATTTTAATGCAGAAGAGCACTTATCTGTAGAGAAGGTGAGAAAGTTGAGGTGGGAAGAAGCCTGGTCACAGCTGTGCTGCGGCCGTGTCCCCTGGGCCAGTCGGCTTCCCTCAGCGGGTCCTCACAGCCCCGGGGGAGACCCCACAGGAGGGGCCCGGCCCTGCCCTCGCACGAATCCCCCAAGGCCCCGGTGCAGTGACGGTGTGCGTCCATGAGGGCATGGCCCAGATCTCTGCAGCCTTCAGCCCCCCCTAGAAGCTTCTTCACTCCTCCTAGAATCACATCATGGAACACGCGTGTTGGTTCACTTCTCAGTAATCAGAGATAAAACACGGGCAGTGATCCTGGCCATTCATTTGAGGTTTTCTACAGTATTTATCTTTTAGGGACTAGGAGGAATCCGTAGGGGCTACTGCACAAGAGTCAGCCTACAACTCCCTGTCTTCCTTGCTCTGAATCTCATGGATGTGGATGACTCTCCAGACATCTTCACAGGAAGGAAATAGAATTAATTAAGTAGATAGACTCGTTCTTAGAAAATGCCACTAAGGCATAGTTTTAAATTATTCTTTCCAGCTTTATCAAAGACATGTTTGAAAGTCAGTATTCAGGCTGGAAGCTGGTGAGGCAGTGTGCCGCGGGCCTCGTGCCCACCAGGGTCTGGACGTTGATTGTCACGGCAGGGAAGGGGTGCTGCTGGTGCGCGGGGTGGCCCAGGGGTGCTGCTCCACACCCCATGGCCCCCAGGGTGGTCCCAGGCTGAGCCAGCAGACGGTCAGGAGTGCGGACAAGGGTCCCGGGGGGCACCCAGACGTGAGCTCAGAGATTTGCACCGATTGCCTTGTTGCTTCCACTCAGGATCAGACAGGAGCCCGAGGAAGTGCTTCCTGCCCCCGGCTGGTTCAGGGCCGTCTTCATGGAAGGGGGGGTCTTGTGGTGGCTGTAGGCAGTCGGGAGACCTGCCCCACCTTGACGGACTCTGAAAACGCAGAACAGGAGCAGAGCCTCGGCTGTCACCTGGCCCAGACCCCATGTGCAGGAGCAGGAGACTCAGGCCAGAAGCGCTGTGTCCCCCTCTTCCCCGGCTCCGGCAGCAGTTACTTGGGGGGCGGGGGGCGGGGCTGGCTGCAGGGACCCTGGTAGAGCTCAGGCAGGCCCCCCGTTGTGCGGAGGGGTGTGGTTTGGCTCAATGGGCTGCCACCTTCTTTCCGCCTGAAGCAGGAAGGGTGTTAGCTGGTGTCGCCGCCCTCCCCAAGCAGGTGCTCCCACACACAGAACATCTGTGAGCCCCTGTGTTTTTATTCTCTCGATAAATGGTATTTTTTCTAATGGGGATTGGGAGATGGACTTAGTTTTTAAAAAAAATATGTGGATTTTGATTAAAAGTTGAGTGGGAATATATTGCGTATACACACACTACCCAGTATGTCTGACTTCCTCCCTCTGTCGGCTAACAGTGGAGGTGAGCACCACCTCCCCCCCAAGTGAGGACAGCTGTCCTGTGTGCCGGTCCCCAGCGGACCCCGAGCTGTGCAGGCGCAGGACGGCCTGCGAGTGTCCAGGCCCCGCAGGTGGGTCAGGAGGGAGCCCCGTCCACCTGTGGGCCCGCACAGCTCCCAGGACGGACCGCTGGAGCAGAACAGAGACAGAAACGTGACCTCCAGGAGACGGGTCAGGACACTCAGCACTTGAAACGGTCCCTTCTGAGGCTCTGTGCACCGCACCCCATTTCCCCCAGGCGTTACTTTGCCTACAGTGCCCTTAATCAGGATTCTAGAGACTTAGAAAATTTGACACAACCAAGAACTTGATTTTTTGAGAAAAATCTTCAATTTTGAGGACATTTTGACCATTGGGGGTTGGGAGGGTTCCCTTCTGTTTTGCTCGCTAAACCTATTAATTCCACGAAGACACCGGCTGGCGGGCATCTCTCCCACTAGTGGAGGGCCTGAGTCCCAGGGGTGCCTCGGCCGGGGTCGGGGGCTGTCCTGCAGCCGCGTCAGCTCAGTGCCAGGAGTCCCCTCCTCCCAGGCCAGGGAGGCCACAGGGCGCACTTCTGATTCTGAATCAGAGTTTGATTGACTCATTTAATCAGAAACAGTTATTTTTATTTTAAAATGTGCAACATCTCAGCAGCCATTCATTTCTCTGGAATGTGTTTTTATTCACATGATTTCCCTGATACCCAGACGACAGAATCACTGCTTTCTTTGGAAAGACAGTGTTTCTTGTAATTTCACATAGTGACGCTGGGGAGGGGGCAGCTCTCAGGCTCCACGAGGGGGGCAGACCTGAGGGTGGGGTCAGTGAATACTGTGGGGGAGGACTGCACGCCCCGCCCCTTTTTATCAAAACACAAAACCAAATCAGACAGGTCTTTATTTCTGAAACATTCTACACTAAAATATAGGGTCTACCCCGACCGTAAATTTGATGTAGCAAGAGAAAATCAGCTGGCTTTCCTGTCTCTAAAATCTATGAAATTAGAGAACCTCTCAAAAGATTCCGTTATCAACCCCCGACTATGTAAGCGGAAAGGGCAGAGTATTTGTGACTGCGTGTGCACGCATGTCCGGTGTTGTCTGCCCTCGTCCCCTGGCGTGTCCTGTGACCCTCTCTGCAGCCATGTGGCCAGTCACGTCCTCAGGGCCGGCCAGGACGGGGTCTGGCTCGAACCTGACCCGTACCTGTCCTCTGGAGCTGCTGTGTGCACTTGTTCCCTGTTTCCAGGGGTGAGCCCCCAGCCCCAAAAACACTTAGCTTGGCCACGCCGTGGGCTGATGGTACATCAGGAGCCGACGCCCGTCCTTCTGGACACGACCATGAATGTTTAAAGGCAGTCCGTGGAATGTTTGTAGAATGGGCCCGGAAGCAGTTTGCTTCTCCAGATACTGGGGTATATGCTTTTATTTTATTTTATTTTAGAGTTTGGACACTTTATATGAATGTAATTCAGCCAGAACGCTATCGCTCAGATCCAGCCCCCAGTGTCCTCTGTATGTTTGTTGATGTATATACCACACGTTACAGTCTGCATGAGCTACCCCTCGCACCGAGACCAGCTGGAACCAAGCATGAGACGCTGTCCTATAGACAAAGGATCGGAGATGTTCTCAATAAAAGACACAGTGTTCCACCACGGCAGTGTGGCTGGGTTTTCTCTCCTTTCTAGTTCTCCCCTTGGCCCCCTCAAAGGTCTGGGGTCTGTTCCAATGAGCAAAATTTGGAGGGGTGCGTACTCACCAGCTGAGAGCTGCCCGCTGGTCTTGTCCGCTGTACGCTGCCCCAGCGCTCGGCACAGTCACCCGACTCAGGACACTTCCTCTGAGCCCCTGGGCTCCGTGGGTCCCTCACCGTCCTCCTGAGCTCACGCCGCTCCCACTCCCACGTGGAAGTTGTGTAGAGGACAATGACGCAGCGGCCCTGCTTGAGGTCCCGCGTGGAGAAGGGACGATGATGTAGCCCCCGTTGACCTGCTGGGCTGGGTGAGGGCGGCATGAGCAGGAAGACGCAGGAAGAACCTGGACGCCGACGGGCCACTGGCCGGGTGCACTGGGCTGTCAGGGGCAGGGAGGCAGTGCAGCTGCTAGTTAGAAGGCGGGCTTTATGATTTAGGGCTAATGTTTCTGAAGGACGTTCATAATAAACCACGTGGAAAACTGGCTGCGGAGACCAATTACCAGAGACTGGCAATTAATGGAGTAGGTAGCAGGTAGTTAATGCTCAAAACTCACCATTTGCTAATGGCTGCACTGCTTTATCACTATTTGCATTTAGTGGTAAAGAAATGTGGACGTTTTCTGTAAAAGCACATGTGGGACAGCCTGGAGAGGACTGAGTCTGGTCGCCTGTGAATGAGGATTCGGGGTGATTTTAATTTAATTTTGCTTTTTTAAAGCTTACCCATTTGTCTGATGTTTCTACAATTAAATGAAAAATAAAGAGGAAAATGTTTTTAAAAGTAAAAATCCCCATACAAATAAAAAGCACTGTTAACAAATAATTTGCTCTCTTTTGCATCAGTTTTGATTCTGTTCTTTTCCCACAATAAAAGCAACATTAAAGTGAAAATATGTGAGGCGCCTGGTGGCTCAGTCGGTTGTCTCTGACTCCTGGTTTCTGCTCAGGTCATGATCTCAGGGTCGTGAGATCGAGCCCCACCTCGGGCTCCGTGCTCAGTAGGGAGTCTGCTGGAGATTCTCTCCCTCTCCCTCTGCCCCTCCCCCCTCAAATAGCTAAATCTCAAAAAAAAAAAAAATGAAATGAAAATATGTAACATAAGACACATTAAGCTTCTGAGAATGGATGGGGACAGCATGCCCTCTGCCAG